AATATATATATATATATATATATATATATATATATATATATATATATATATATATATATATATATATATATATATATATATGTACACACACACACACACACACATATATATATATATATATATATATAAATTTGTGTATATATACATAATATATATATATATGTACACACACACACACATATATATATATATATATATATATATATATATATGTGTGTGTGTGTGTTTGTGAGAGAGGAAGTGAAGGAGAGAGAGTAAGCTTTTATGCGAGTGAGTGTGTGAGTGCGTGTGTGTGCTTGTGTGCGTGTTTGTGTATATGTGCGTACTTGTGCGTGTGTATGTATGTATGTATGTATGTATATATGTGTGTATGTATGTGTGTGTATATGTATGTGCGTGTGTGTATGTGTTACGTATGTGCGTGTGTGTGTGCCCCCATATACAACTTTGATACAGACCCTGCCCCTGAATAAAGTTCTTTGCATGAGTGATAAATAGAAAAGAGTTAGCATATCTATAGCGGTGCAGAAAAAATTAGTCGTATCTTGATACACTGTCTATACGTAGAGTGCCCATGGCCTGTCTCTTTGCACACAGGTGTCTGTAAAACTGCTAAGTGGTATGTATGTGTTCTGTTGCTTCCTAAAAATATACCCTTGTAACGTACTAGGCATACAGACCTATACGCCCCTGCCGTTAACGTGTGCACACCCATAGATTGTATAGGGCCCACGTCGTCTGCAGAGATGTTAGTACCCAAGAATTAGCATAAGAACAGGAGGCAACGGTACACGCACTGAATAAAGATTAATGGATCAAAAACGTTCGTTTGTTTCTGGTTGGATTGTCTTTCATTTCAAGTCGTATTCCCTTTAAGCAATCAATTTGCTTTTAAATGTCCTGGGATTCCAGTGCAGCGTGACCATAGTTCAGCAGATCCACAGGCAAAACGTTTAATCATTCTATACACATACTGATGCCTATATACTATATTGCATTAAATCACAGGATAAACTAGTTTTAATATACACAGGTCTACGAGGCGGCTTAGCCAAGGATGCCAATAATTCCAAACACGTACCGAATTAGAGGCATCCGGATATCTCGCGCTCACAAGCCCATGCGATGGAACGCGTGCCCATTGCACTCGATGCAGCAACCTTGACATCGTGTAAGTGGACTTGAATGTCAATCTCGAACACTCACTCCACTGATGCGAACCTATCTAAATAAATATCTCTATGTGCTTTAATGCATGTACATATACATATATGGCTTGCTGTAGGTCACTCGATATGGCTCAGAACTACATGTGTAAACAAATCAGACTCTACTTTTTAAAGTACTTTATTACATCAGTACTTTAATGTCATCACTCACACTTACTGGATCACACCCATCACACCCCACAGGGACTGTGAGTGACACTGGACACAGACTCACACGCTCACACGATGACACGGAGCCCGCGCAAAGTCACTTAATTTGGTTCGTGCGCACAACCCAAGGCTCAACCCTAGAAGGGCGGTGACTGGTTTATTTTGTGGTGGGGTTAAAAATACAAAGGTGAGCCAGAGTATATATATTTACATACATCCTATGAAGGGGCTATGAGTACTATGTATGAAGGAGCTATGAGAATTGATATGTCTTTATATTGTGCATCGCTTAGGAATGGACAGGCAATCTAACAAGTATATACATAAACGGCTGTGGTGTCACAAGAAGGATATGTTATGCCACTCTCTTGATCCGTATTGAATTTTAATGGTAGTACTTGTTGGAGTAATGCCACTCTCTTGCTCATTTGTAATTACGAATGTAAGTGATAGTACTGGTAGCAGTACAGAAGAACGAACAATCATCACGCGCTGCCTGTTGGAGTGGTAGTCACACTTCCAAATAACCTCGTTATGTCGTGATCCCTCAGAATATCCCTAACGCACTGATGTACTAACATACTACTATTGTGCGCGCATATCATGCATGCAAAGATAGTAGCGTGCAGATGCTTTCAGCGCAACTACACCTGATGAATGCACACGACACACACATTGCGCACACACAACCCACTGCTAAAGCACACACCGCCGAGCATCGCATGGCGCATACCCAGCCTGTAGTGCGACGTCGGCACTTGGGCCTGTCGCGTCGACCCGTACACATACAACACGCTCGCGAGGAGAGATACGGTTACAACCAAGCTATATCACACAAGACTAATGTAGTTGTTCGTGTACATGACGATGTAGATGTAAATTTAAAGTCAAAGTTCGATAAGGGCAAGTACGCACGCGGCAGCATCTCACAACATGCTGGGTCGACTGAGGTGAGAAGCGATGGCGAAGGTCTGGGCCACACAGCAGCGACAACAAACACAAAGGGGGTGGCGCGTGCTAGTAGCGAGCTCGATAAACTGATACGGGAGGATGGTGCAGTCAGCGTCCACGGGGCGTTCAGTACCAGTGATAAGGTAGTTGTCCGCGATTCTACAATGGAATCGGCTGCAGGAGATATCTCAGTTATCATAAGCGATAGGCAAGTACCTGCCCATATACCCAAGAGCTCGGAGAAAGAGGCTCACAAACCTGCCATGCCCTTGCCCACTGGAACGGTCAAAGCAAACAGTGCATCGACACATATCACTGATCTGGTGGCCGGAAGTGGTGCAGCAGTACACGACACGAAATTCGACAAAGCACGTGGTGCATTAGCAGCCAATGCTGAAGCGGCCGCATCGGAGGGTATGTGTGTGGACAACCGTGTGGTCGAGGACTGTCGGCGGATAGCGCAGATGCTATTCAACCAGAAGTGGGCCAAAGGCTTCATTGAGGACGCGAGTCTGGACAACAAAGGATGCTTGAATGTATGTAGGTACTGGGGTTGTCATGGGAACCATGAGTGTGTTTGTTTCCCAGCGCATATAGCTGGGGGGATGTGTGTACATGCCTTGAGTGTGCGTAGGTATTGGGATTTCCATGGAAACCTATCGTGTGCTCTTATGCCTGTTTTAGGGGCCCCTCGTGTGCGTGCAAAGCATACTGTCCTTTGGCAGTATTTGGTTGGGTGTCCAATGTCTCGTCAACTCGTCGATGTGATTCGCTGATCCTAGCGATCTATTCAACCCGTACTATCGGGAAAAATGGCCCATATAACTTTCTCCCGCGTCAGTCCGTTGTGGAGAAGGCGTTTGAGGTCGAACTGAACAAGAGCACTACATAGTTAGTATTTACATCGCTTTATCTCCATCCCGAACATACACGTGCAGTAGGTGCACCCATGTGCAGTAGGTGCACCCATATGCAGCAGGTGCACCCCTATCCATGCAGTATAAACCATACGATGCCGAGGCTAATACGGTCAATAGTCGTCCTGACTGCTCTCCGTCAGGGCAATTCCTTGCCCCCACCATCTAGTCATCCCCACTCTTATGTTTACTTCAACATGGAGTTGCTATGCACACCACCAATCCACTGCTCCTTGGGTGGTGTATGTTCTTGCCCATCAATGTGTCTTATTCCAATCCAAATGGCCCGATGCTGCTCATGTCGCAGCTGTGCATTATCCACTGCTTTGCTTAGTGTCGCTGACTGTTTGTTTGTAGACTTCTATTTGCCGTGTGTGCCAGATGCCCCTCGGGTGGGAGTTCTCAATGTCTATGGCATACTTGTATAAATGACCTAAGTTCTTTGTCCTCGGACTGGGCCGCAATAGCACTATGGGCTGTTATTTCTGCGGCAGCGGGGACGTTATCAACCCTCCCTGCAAGTACATTCTAACAATCATATGCTAACACAATAGTCGACCGCTCCGATTCGTGCCTTGTCCGTCTTCCACGAACTCACCTACCTACACACCTACTCACAAAGATCACTGAGATCCTAGCCAAGTCCAAGAATGGGGCCTACACCAGTGTGTCGCAGCTGTCAGAGGATATCTCCAAGATGATCCAGATGTATCTGCAAACATACGCGGCCGATTCCAAACCTGGGCGTATGGCCACTGAACTGCAGCGATGGGCAAGGCATCTGCTGGAAACGCGCTACAACGCCAGCCTAACGCCTGGACGGCCAGACAGGCAATGCGCGGCTGCAGCGACGGTATGCGAACTAACTCAGTGTATGCACTATCTATATACCTCAAACAGTGGTTTGATTATACATTTTCTACACACCTCATATGCTCGACTATGCGGACAAGTCTTCGTGAGTTGGGCTGTGATGGTATGGGAACTAAGCATATACATTATCTACACACCTCATATTCTCGACTATCCTGTCAAGTCTTCGTGAGTTGGGCTGTGATGGTATGGGAACTAAGCATATACATTATCTACACACCTCATATTCTCGACTATCCTGTCAAGTCTTCGTGAGTTGGGTTGTGCTTTTGTGGTCTGTAGTGTGTAGCCTGCAGTTGTCTTTGCTGTGACTAAGCGGTTCTGGGTTGCGGCCATGCAGTGCTTGGTCGTGCAAGTGGTAAGTGTCATATCACTTGACTCTGTTGAACCGTGGATTGATCTATGTGGTCACTCGCGTGGCTGGGCTACAGGCGTGGCGACTGAACTGATTGTCTCAAGATTGTCTCGTCCTTTGGTCCTTTAGCACGCGTCAGTTGGTGTTATATGTATGTATAATGTTATCTGCAAGAGTTCTGAATGGCGCCTATGGGACTCCCCGCGCTGCGCGTGCTTGCGCTTGCTTTCGTTATACTTTCGAACATACTGAATGAAATGAATGGGCTGTCCTGGATTTTAAAATGGACTAGCAGGTACTGTTTGAGGCCATTTGGCGCCCCGGTGTGACTGTAGTATTTAGCACTGCCTGATATCGCGAGCTTGTACTATTGTTTTTCGTCAGTTTCTATTAAATTTATTTGTCCCGTACTGAATTTACTAATGCGATCATTCCTTTTCAGGTGCCTAAACATACCCCGCCCGGAAGATCGGCAGCTAAGGTAAAGCAGCCATCGATTAAGCCTGCCGAGTGTCTTGGGGTTGTTGGGCATGATCACCGCCGGTGTGCATCTGCAGAGAACTCTGCACCCGAAGCTGGCTCGGCGCCTATCACCACGTACAGTAGCGAACTTAGACAGCTCGTTGAACAGCCAGTAGATGCTACTTGTGTGCGCGATCGCACTTGTAAGCGACGGGTATCTGGCGCTAAAGCTTTGGCGCCATCGCAACCATCGCCTGAGGACACGAACCAAGACACTACCAAAACTCATGCGAATATACAAATGAACCATATAAGAAAGGGTGGCCAGAGTGATTCTGGCGTAGCGAACAAGGCAAGTACGGGAGAAGGTGCATGTAGCACCGCCGGTGCAACCGTAGTCACGTACCCAAGCAGCACGCATACCACAACACAGACGAACTCATTAAGTGCTGCGGGGACGGCTTGTGCCGCAGCTCGTGACTTGAACCCGCTAGCACCCACCAGGGACACGCAGCTGCTGGGCAACCCAGTGCCTGCAGATACAGGCAAACCACGCAGGGTAACGAAAGGCGAAGGTACTACTCTGACGAGCACGGTATGTAGTGCTTCTGACCTTACAGACGGCAGGGAGAAACCCCCACAGAGCAAGGCAAGTGCACTGGGAGAGGCTAGGGATGATGGCGGAAAGATTCGCCGCTCCAGCAGGCTGCTCGATCGGGCTTCAGCCTCGGCCTCGGCTTCTGCGTCGTCGTCAGGGATAGTATCATTGTCGCAAACACCCACACGCACACCTGAGCTCTCGCCATCTTCTGTCTCTGGTGAATTTATATCTGGAGGAAGGGGGTCTGAAGATGCAGGTGAGTCCAAGACATGTGTCCAACCGGCCTCGGCAGCTGAATTGGCTGTTACAGACAAGCCCTCGACAACGCTCAAGCAGCTGAAAGCGCTGGCTTTGTCTTGCGCAACAATCGGAGAGTCTGGTGACACGGATGCCCCAGTCAGACCAAAAATTACCCACTCACGGGAGGATCTGGGTCGCACCAAGAAGCATGCAACGTACAACAAGAAACATCAGCGGGTGAGTAGTGGCCGTGGAACCCTGCATGCGCTGTGGGGCCAACTGAACCCCACGTGTGAGACTGACGCCGACGGTATACCGCCTCAAGAGCGCACAGAGCGACTGGATAGGCTGAGTGGGGCAAGCAACAAGCACGGTGCAAAGGGAAGCGGTGCTAGTCTCGGGGTACTGGATGCCAGTACACTTGTGAGCAAGGATGTGGGCGGGGTAGCCGTTGTGCAGCAGAAGGAAGTATCAGCTACGGCAATGATAGGGCTGTCTGGTGATGAGGCCGTGCTTGACCAGAGCTGGGGCAGAAGACTGGATAGCGACGGGGGCAGGCGAGATGTTACCGAGTGTTCACAAACAGGAACAAGGTCACCAGAGACTGAGAAAGCTCACACTCGGAATGGACACTCGCAGCAAGAATGGGATGAGCTGGAGGAGGGTGATGGTTTAGTTGCTATAGAGAAACGATCGGTACATATTGATGGACAGGAGAACGAGCAACCACACGGGAGTGACAAACAGCAAATAAAGTATACACGACAAGGACCCAATAAACTACAAGGAAGTATTAAACGAGAAAGAAGTATTAAACGACAAAAAAGTAATAAACGACAGGTGGAAACGACGCGGAAGGAAGGAGGCCAGCGACGGGGGCGCCCTGAACACCACAGACGCGGACGAACATTGAAGTTGATGAGGAAATCCAACGAGCAGGTGAAACCACCCAGCCCACCCATTGGCGTAGGCATGACCAGTATGACTACACAGTACATATCGCGTGCTGAAGGAGAAGCTAATGCAGCGCCACAGAAGTGTGTGGGATTAGACAGACCGAAACTCAATGAAGAGCCTTCGTCCGCAATAGCCGATACTGCACATAGCCCTGACAATAGTCAGACGGAAGTCGCGCCCTCGAGAGGTGGGTTAACAGATCTACCTAGAGCGGTACTGCAGAGTGCATTACGCGACGTAGAGACAGCTGCGCGGATTGAAGAAGTGTCTCACTTGGCCGATAACGATGGACGGCTGAAGGCGATACCAACAGTGGTGCAAGAAATCGCACAGAGAGTCGACCGGGATACAGACTCTGACCACATGTCCGAAGACATTGGCTCAGTACTAGGACCTGGAGATGCACACTTGGGGCCTGGTAGTGGTACAACGGACGCCGAGGCCGTGCATGCACCGCGAGGGCGACTGAGACTTACCCGAGGGCCGGCTAAAGCGACTGGCACCAAGCTACGTGGTCGTAGAGAGAGGTATAGTCCCAAGCACAGTAGCAACTCGACGAAGGTTGTGAGCTCGACAATGAGTGCGGAGGTGAAAGGGAGTATGGGTCATTTAGTGGAGAGTCCGGATGAGCAGCGCTGTGATCTGGCACAGAACGTGACGTCCGAATATATTGACTCTTCGGAGATCCGTGCAAATGAAGCCTATCTGCCGTCACCGTCGACAGATACTACTGAAGCGGTAGTTAGCTGCGTACATGTAGACACAGGCGAACGCGCTGGTGTGGTGACCGGCACACAGACAGCTCATCATATCACTACCTCTACCCCGTCCTATGGCAGGAATAACAGTGATGCATCGACACCAAACACCCTGTCGAACGAGAGACCCTTCAACTACCGTTGCGCTGCAAATAGAGTCGTATCCCATCCAATAAGCGGGCCAGCAGAGAAAGTGTTATGCGCGCGCTCCCCATTCAAGCGGTCTCATTCGCCTCTGGATTTGAATTTGTCCTTGGATTTGGAATCAAGCTTTGATAGGCCGGCGAGAGAAGGGGCGGCTGCGCTGGAGTCAGGCAGCAACGCACACCAGATGGGAACACACAGCGATTCAGACAATTTGATGTCACCCATACCACTCTACACATGCACTGCAACAGCAACTGTTTCGTGCGGAGAGAGTCTTCACGATACTGTGCCTGCAGAGAGCGACAGGCCTGGCCCCGAGCAGTTGGCTAAGTCTGTGCGCCGGAGGCTATCGGTACGCAGACCTCACGCGTGCATTATCGGATCCAACGGTGGGCCGAGCAACGTCGCAGAGGGAGCCGAAACAAATGCAGAAACCCCAACACTCGCCCTTGTCGCTGGAGGCGTGCACACAGTCTCAGACACGGGCGGGTGTGTGGGTGCGAACCCAACACAGGTCAGTGTCCATAATAGCGTACGCAGTCAACAAGTCATGAGCCCACCGGCAAGACCAGGGGATAGGCTATTGGACCGAGCGACACAACCTACGGGACGTTTAGGTATGGTCAAAACAATGGTTGCCAAGACCCGCTTACCAGAGGATACTTGTGCTACAATAGATACAGATAAATATGCAGAGCCTCACACGAAGCACGTGCGGGGGGACCACGAATACCAGGCCTTGTGTGCATCACCACAGAAGTGCCCAACGGAGCGTATATGTGCAACCTCTTCGCAGCAGCCAGGTGGTGTTGTACAGCGTGCGGTTGGTAGAGGAGTGGCCGGGGTCAAAGTGGAGATAGGGGCACAGCAACTATGTAGTGAGACACTAAGAGACACTCCATCGGAGTCTGGAGACCAGTCCCCATCACACCAGAATGCCGAAGGAGAGCATCAGAATGCTATAGACAGCGAGGCTACAGTGGCGGTGAATACCGCACGTGTGATTGCTGACCAACGAAAGAGCAGTAGCGCGGATGGCGATGCTGTTCGCAAAGGAAAAAGGAATAGGGACGGGTCAGTTGCCAGAGTTACTGACAATGGCAGTGGCCGTGGTTGCAAGGCCAAGGGTATCAGCCGGAAACCAAGCGACCCAAGCAAGGGACTGGCGAGGAAACATACTTCGAGAAAGGAGAAGGAGAAGAAGAACACGCGCACGGGCAGCGAGACTGTCCGCGAGGATGAGAGCAGGAAAGGGGAATCCCTGTGTGTTTTCGACAAGTCCAAATTGTCTGATCAATCGGACGGGTCGGATAGGTCCGATGAGTCGAATAGGTCCGAAAAGGCCCAAAAATCTGGCAAAGCCAATCGGATCGACCACAAGCACCGCGGCAAGGTCCGTGGTGGTGGCAGCAGCAAGCGCAGAGCGCCTGGGGCAATTAGTAGGACACGTGGTGACGGGGAGACTCGCAGTAGCACCTGTACGACTGGCTGCAAGAGTCGTTCTAAGTGTGTGCACTGCAAATACAACGCTGATCAGGAACAGCACAGTCTTGATACCAGCCTAAAGCATAGCAGTACAGGCCACAAACTCCACGTATCACGCAAGGTGAACCCCTACAGTACTGCGACTAAGCGATTGGCTTGCTTGTTGGGCCTTCCAACGGGCCATGTGAAGCAGTCAAAGCTATCCTTTGTCAAGGCTGTACCCAGCCGCAGCAAGCACATCATTACAGACATAAGCGCAGATAGTATACAAACACTACCATCCGACTCGGTGCCGGGCAGTCGCGACAAAAGCAAAATTATGAGCCCGCGCGCAGTAGAAACTCAGACGACACTCCCTTGCCTACCTACCGAGAGACAATCAGCTGCATCACGCTCACGCTTCCCACCTTCTGTACCTTCATCACTATGTACGGTCAACAGTGCATGCGACAAGCTGTTAACTAAGGTGTCAGTACCCACTAAGTCACGGCCGCGGAGAACCCTGATGGGATGCTCACTAAAACGAAAGCTGGGTTCCACTGGATCAGACGCTGGCCATACAACTAGTGGAGGGAAACGTTCTCGCAACGCTGAGCTTTGGACGGAATCAACATCACTATATCTACATACGACAAAATCTGATCAGCGCTCAAGACCATGCACATTCTCAAAAACCCAGGATACTAACACCACAGCAACTACCCTAGGGCAAACTTCTGTGTCTGTGCTTGAAGATATATCAAGTGCCAGAGTAGATCCAAAACCATTGCCGGAATCACCTCCCGATTCAGTGGCAGTGTCACTCTCCCCCGCATCGTTGTCCAGAGTACTTCTGGCCAAGCTATCTCACAGTACAACCAGCCGGAACGCTGACGGTAAGGCAAGTACCGCATCTTCGACCCAGCTTGAAACCTTGGCTCCGTCAAAGGACACTACAGATTGCCGCCTTATGCGGCCGAGTGGTACAAGTGGGCTAGTACAGGGAAGTAGCAGAGTCACCTCGCAAGCATCGCAGCCCATCCCGTCATTATTGACTGAGTTCGAGTGCAAGGCAGCCCCGCCACCGGCATCGACGCACGGAAAAGGAAACCCAAAACTCAATTTACATAGAAAATCATACCGGACTATCAGTACTGCAGCATCCACTACCGAGCGAGGACACGCATTGGCTATGAGTTCACCGGCGTCCGTCACCACCACTCATACTGTCACCAGTGCGGCGTGGTCTGCCCAAGAAATATGTAGTATTCCCCACACGGCCAATTCGCAACTGGAGAAAGGAGTTTGGAAATCAATACCTTTACCGAATACTGATCCGGATGTACCCCGTATTCCTATCAAGGTTACCACACAGCCAGAGAAGTGTATAAAAATGGTACGTAAGTCACGAAGGCACCACCTGCTATCGGCCGACGTTGCGGTCGAGGGACATAAGTCCGCGGAGTCCACAACTGTCACGGTAGAAGGAATAATCACTTCACCTGTGGAGGCACTTAGCGTAGTACGCGAGAAACCGCGCGTTCTAAGCGGTTCTCAGCGAAGCACAGCTACAGAACGCGTTGCAACACACGTGTCTCGCTCAGAGCCTTATCGAGTGACAGGCACTTCTGGCTGCAACCAGGCCAGAGGAGGGGGGCGGACGAGGCAGCTGAGGGACCAAGTGAAGGGTGTTGCGAGCTCGACTACTGAAGGTACGGATGTCATTAGCAGTGTCGGTGCAGCATCACCCAGTCAACTTGATGACAGGGCAGTCATGCCCGCCAATACTGAGCAATCTTCTAAGATGACTACTGATGTGCATAAAACTGCGGGATCGCCACCGTCGACTCTGTCGGGCGCACTACTCGCGTCGGCCAGGCAACGTGGACGTGAACTCGTATCAGGCTCGCGCAGTACCAGTGGGAAACGGCGGAGGCCCAGGGAATCGACTAGAAAGAAAACAGGTATAGATATCACGGAAGATAAAGCTTTCAAACTTGAGAAGCTGGCATTGAAGCCCGCAACAGAAACAGCGCCGGCGACTTGTTCGATCAGTGGGGCCTCTAAGTCCGATTCCAGGCCATTTGGTCAGCTGAGAGGGTCTGCTCGACGCAAGACGACCAGGAAGCCTGTGAAGACGAGGGAGGTGTCAAGCACAAAAGATACCCGCAAGAAGGAAATGGATCGTAAGACGGGGGGGACTGGCAGTCTTCAGGGAGATCATAGTGTGAGTGGGATAGACCAGGCGGCTGACACTGCCAGCCCGAGTGAGGTGTTGGGTGGATGCGATACAATTGCAGTAGAAGGTGTGGGTGGCGAGTTGGCTGGTCAGGTACCCGTTGTAGGTATAAAATGCCCAATCGTGGCATTTGTAGCGCCCACTGTCGATGGTAAGATGGTCTCACCGCCGCCTGTGAAAGCTGCTGTCGTACTAGTAGCTGCGACTAATGGGAAGTCCATGTCCGTACCCGGCCACGATGCGAAGGCTAGTGCAGATCACTTGCCTGTGTGGGAGGAAGGTGTCGATGAGCCGTTGCTGCCCAGCACACCTGCGCAAAAGAGAGACCGCCGGCGGAGGCGGAACGAGCAGTTACGGTATGTTTTGTTGGTATAAACCTTGACCTGGTACAGACATCCCTATTCGAGTGTTGCTCGATTGATTCACCATAGACACTGAGCATCGCACGTTTTTGTTTTTGATGTGTTCCGCTGCCATGAGAAGGTATGTGAATGCAGATGGGTGGTGGAGCCCTGAAGCAGATTCCCTACTGACGCCTACATATATTGGGTCAGCCACTTGGGCCTATTTATGTCAACAGTTTTACTTATCTTCCCTACTTCCCAGACTATGCAAAGAGCGAGAGATCAAAGAGCGACGTGAAAATAGTTGGCGGCGGCGGGCAGAGGCCGGCATGAGTGATCAGCCCACCCCGACAAAAGATATAAATAGACGCGGTATCTCATGGAAGCGCGATTGCGAGACCTATTACATATACGACACGGGAGTTTTCAACTCAGTGTACGACCCAAGCGAACACATGCAGGATCCGGACACAGACATGGTCAATAAATAGTGTCCTAACAATTCCTGGTGGAAATTGTTAGATGCAAGAAAACCATAAATATACTCGGTGCTACGTGAGAAGGGCATAGGCAAATGTTTGCAATTTTGTAGAAGGCTGAGTGTCTATGGAATCGTACATCGATACAACACCATATCGGCCTCAGCCAAATTTCGACATGAGTGTCAGACAAACTAAATGTAGGAGTGAACACAAAGGATGCGGTACTAATCCTCAAAACAGGTGCACATAACGTCTCGAGTATAGTAAATAGGATGGAAGGTTCCTATTTTTCTGTCCAAAAATCTCAGAATCATACGCTTGCAATCTGCAAGTTAGCAGGAAGCCGAGATCTACATGCGAGACATAATCACCAAAACATACATATATGTATATACACAAAATAAATAAATACATGTACATCAACATGTTTACATGATCACCAAAATAGACACAGATGAATATACAATATATATATTCACAAAATAAATAAATATATGTATATCAACATGTTTTTTTCCTGACGTACGTGCACACACACAGTGACCTTGATCGCAACGCATACGTCTCCAGGATCATAATCTTGTTTGTCTCAGTTCGATAATCAATATTCGCTCCCAGGAGCATTTATGTTATGATATTAACTGATTCGCCGCAGCCATGCACGCACCATGGGGGTGTACATACTACAGAAATATACAAACCAGCCAAGCTGTGACAACCAACAGATGGCTTTGTATGCATTGATGAGACACTCACTATAATCCGCTCATAAAACCCAGCGTCATATATTAAGAGCCTTGGCCATACATGCTTCGACCTATGTCTTTCTCAAGGATGCCTGGGCATTGAACGTGGTGTTATCTTGGTATTGGCATCACAGTTAACGTGTGTCTCTCCCGAGTGTCCGGCCAATAGACTTCACCCACAAACATCGCAGATGATGACATTGTTTCCAAGTCAAGAGGTAGCTCATGAAAAGTACGCGTTTACTCCTTGCACCAAAATTCAACTCAGGCTCCTGCTGATGCACCACCTAACGGCGAACGCCGTCCAAGATAGCCTCTAAAAACGTTGCACCGGACACCTCAACCACGCGACATGTACCACGCCTCGTTCAACTCCTTGCGTCTTCTAAGACTTTGGTATTTATCTCAGTCTGGGAGGGGCCTCCGACTTTGCCACTTCTCTGACCCACAGACCGACCACTTCGCATACTAGTTCTAAGATTTGATCCACGCCCGAAGTACGCGGTAACAAATCGGAGCGCTGCCATATACCGGTTGAAGATTCAGTAGTCTCGGGCTATACAAGCTACTTATACACCTACAGCATTATCTCGCGTTTGTCACGTTGGACTTTGCACCGACAGGTGCGCACGCGTGTACCATACTACGGGAAAAGAGTCCAAAGGCTTCGATTGGTATGGCGAGGAAGAGCGGGTGAGCTGGGACATATATAGTATTTGCGATTTTGACTAGCATTCCAAGCGCGGTGTCTTAACTCGCCGATCTGGAGAGCTGAAGGATGGATATCTACGATGGTTGTGTGCGCTGTATATCCTCGATGCACACCCGGCTGTCAAATGTCCCCTCAGCACTCCGCGCGTCTTTTACCATGTACATTGACGACTACAAAAAAAAGTGTATCCAGGCTAAATGTTCAACAATACACAATTGAACCGGACAGTTCACATTGTGTAAAATAACAGTATATTCGAAGTGTTCGTATGTGATAAAGAACAGGTACACTACCTGTTTGTCTTTCATACCAACATAATACAACTACTGCGACATGGCGGACCCATCCGCAGGCTGGACCGCGACTGACACGTCAACTACCGGCGGGGTGGCAAGCATACCATGCTGCTGTGGTTGTTGTTGCGGCTGCTGCTGGGCCTGCGGTTGGTGTACTTGTTGCTGCTGCTGTTGCTCTGCAGCCATCTGCGCGGCAGCCACCACTGCCGCCACCGCAGCAGTCGTATTATTCACTTGGTGTACCTCCATGGGATCGTGCTGATTGATATGCGGCACCTCGTATTGCACCTGCGCCTGCTGCTGTTGGGCCTGTTGCTGTTGAGCTTGTTCCTGCTCGTGTACCTGTTGTTGTTGCACCTGCGCCTGCTGTTCCTGGTTTTGTATCTGCAGTTGCTGCTGTTGTTCCTGCTGAGCATGGTGCACACCGTCATTGAGCTCGTCCGTATCCATAGCCCCCCCATTGTCACCTGCAACATCCATCCCCTCGGCTCCCTCGACATGGTGAGTGGCCATATTCTGCGCTGCGTGTGGCGGTGACACGGCACTCGGCAGCATGTTGTTCGCTGGCTGGCGTAGTACGGGTGGTGGTACGGGTGGTGGTACGGGCTGTGGAGGCGGGGGCAAAGACTCCTTGATAACCTGCCTAATGGACGTCTTAACTTGCTTCACGGCCTGTCTCAGCCGCTCATTCTCTATCCTCAGCTTCGTATTCGTCTCCGCATGCACACCGACCTCCGTTAATAGACTCGTGATGCGATTGTTCTTCTCTTCCAACACCCCACGGACCATGCCTTCGGTGGCTCCAGAGCCCGTCTCCAGCTCAGCCGCACTTGCAGCCAGTGCCAGTATACCCCTTCCCGTCCCAATAGAAACCTCGCCTTCCTCCTCTCGCCTGCGGTTGCGCTTCCTTCCTGTAGCCACTCGCTGGCGCACTTCTTCGTCGGATATATCGTAGTATGTGCACTCCTCCTCAAAAGTCATGGGTAGCTCTCCCTTGAGCAGCTTGGTGTACTTGTTGACCTGGTGGAATTGCTCCGGCTTGAAATGCTTGTGACAGACTCGCAATTCCCGTGTGAGGTCATGTTCCTGAATAATAATGATCAGATCAACGAAAGTTTGGTGTCACGGACGCGCTGACATAACTGCCCCCAAAACGACTGCTCTTTAGTGCGAAAGATTTATATGACTGGGATTTAACGAACTAGCACTGCGGAACCTAACATGCTCACCAATCAAGTCTGATACTATAAAACGGTCACGCTTACAACAAGTCATTTGTAAGTCGTACTATTAAACTACTAGCACGTGGTAAACGCACAATCCGCCTATAGAGAAACGGGAGCCCATCAAAACAGTCATGCACAGCAATTTCTTCACCAACTTATTGGCAGTCCACCTACCGAGTAGTTGGGGCGAATGAGTTCCAGCCACTCTCTTCTGAGCTCCAGCTTCTTGGGCACGTGTACAGCAGGGTTGTCCTTCTTCGCGGTGGCCTTACACCACACCGCACCGCACATGATGGTATATTATAAGGCAATCGACCACAATCGACCAGTCGATATTTTCCAACCTATAACAGTGAATGTCAACGAAGATCGCAGTTCACTGAACAGTGCACACTAATTGCAATCGCACAGTTTCAAAATAGTCTTATTTGATTTTGAAGATATGTCACCTAAGCGCATCAATCGTGCCAACCCTCACCACGCTATAGCCTCCTAGTACGAAGGTGTGTTTGTTGCTCAAGGGTTTATATGTATACAATGTGGCCCTTGCCCTTGTGAAAGCTCTTCTTGTCAGTGTCAGTTAGTTCAAAACGCCGGAAAAGCAATCTAATCGTTCTGATAATCAATTTCACTATTTGTGATGCGTTTTGAATGCTAAAAAGTGTGAATCAGGATTGATATTATCGGGTTTGCTTCTTATTATATGATTTTCAGTTGTGTTCTTCAGTTTGTGAATTCGCTCTGATGCATACGATTTCTAAGGCTTGAGTTGGCTCGAAATTTCGAAATTTCGTTATTTTCAGAAATATCTCCCAAAAATAGTTTTTATGTATAAATTACTGAAAGCGTTCCAGTACGTGCTGAAGCAGGAACCGTTGGGAATCTGGTAGGTAAATCTAAAATTAGCTCAGAAATATTTCAAAGTGAGCTCAAAAAATGACGAAAGATAGAAAAATCTATTTTTAGACGTTTATATTGGAGTTCGCCAACTGACGAGGTTTTGAAATGCTGATTTCCCATTTTGTGTGAAGTTTCCGGTTTCTGGGACAGTGCTTGCGATGATTCGGGATGGATATTTGAGCCAAGCACATAAAATTGAGATCATTCGGCAAAGTGAACTACAGTGTCATACATATATTTCATATAAAACAAAGTACATCGCATAATCACTTCGAACACTACTCGTACTGCTGCAAACTATATCAGCAGCAAATTAGAAAAGGAAGTGAACCAGCAGCTGGTCATAGTATCATATCCACATTGTGTTCAACTTTTTTCATCAAGTACTGATTAGTAGCGAAAATTCCTATTAGAGGCAGGCGATCACAGAAGAGTACAATACGTTGAAAATATTAGCTTCATTCGAACATAAAATTGAGAACTTTAGCTTCGGACTTGATCTTCAATAATACATCGTCCAGCATGTGCAGCGCAGTTTGGTGCAAGGCAAAAAGCACTAAGGAGAACAGAGCCGTGCAAGTGCCAAAGAAGGAGGAAATTCGTAAGCAATGGCTGGAAAAAATCAATCCGAATTACACGGTATGTTTACTACTTAGTGCTTAGAGTTACTATCTGAATTGTACTCGAGGATCCACCAGATTTTTCTGGACTTACTTAATGAATTCATCTTAGACGCAACCATAATTAATGTAGGAAGAGGATTTGATAAAAGAACTGCGCGTGTGCCACCGCCACTTCAAGCCCGAGCAGCTTCACGTGGTAAGCAAGTACAAGAAGGTGCTTAAAGGCGAGCTCCCCATGTCGTTCGAAGAAGAGCGTCTGTACTACCTCTACATCGGTGACACACAAATGAGCGAGACGCTCATGAACTCCCCACCCAAGCGTGCTGGCGCTGGGCAGCGTTCCCAGACCAACCCCGTTCCTTTGCCTGCCGAGGCACCGTCTCTGCCCGAGGGCACCAGTGTGCAGCCGTCGTCCATACTGAGTGACAGCAGTAATAGTGTATATCAGAGCGTGCTGCAGGAGAAGAACGATCGCATCAATTCACTGGTCAAGGAATCTGCAACTTTCATGGATAATAATTCGAAGCTCAAGATTGAGAACGAGAGACTGCGGTCAGCGCTGATACAGATGGACCGCATGGCCAGACAACTGTTGCGTGAAGATGAGGAGACGATGTTATTTTAAGATACGAATGCAGATTTCTGTAGACGTGGTATAGACCTGCACATACGCGTTCTTATAGACGAGCACATGTAATTATATATAGACCTACGTATTCACCCGTTCTTGTAGACAAGCGCATGTATTGCTAATTAGACCTGAGCATACACGTGCATATCCTACCGCACGATTCTAGGGGTGTAGCCTTACGTAGAGAGAGGCACTTCCCTGTTTGGTTCATCCGTTAGTAAGTGTTTCGTACTTTGTAGGTACCGATGCCCTTCTGCCAGGTTGTCTTTTGCGTGCGTGCACTTGACCGCGGAATTGCCACCGACCTATCGAGTATTGTTTAGACTTTGCGGTAGTTGTCGCTGAAGCATATCAATAGCAAATTGAAATGATTGCTTGTCTTCGCTGTTGCTGTGTCATTCTCAACGGTAAAAGCAACGTGGTCGAACTGGACAAGGTGCTATTGGCCGGGGATTAGTGTTGCTTGATTGGAACAGCGTGCCATCTCCCGAACCAAATCATAGTTCGTAAAGTTACGGAGCCAAGTAGAATACCCTCAGGATAAGAGTTGACTTTGCCAACTGGGAAACGAAAATATGAGCCGAATCTGGTACTTCTTGTGCCAGCTGAACCTACTTTCACATTAACAACCGTAAAAGGGAGAGGAAGTCCGGCACCGCCGGTTACTGTATCCGCATTGAAAACTTGATAATCTTTCCTCGGCCAAATTTAAATAAAGATGATCTCATAAGTTGAAACATTGTCAGCTAAAAGGTCAGCTTGATATTATGAACATTTTAATGTTTTATAATTGTGTATCTCTATTCCCTATATAATCACTTATGTTATTTTAATTTCAAGATGCACATTTTCGTTTCGGCACGCCACACTATACAACTCAATCACCTGCTAAAAGATACAGCCCATTCTCATGTTTATATCCTATATGTGCGCGTAGTTCATGTCCTGGTAATACTACATTGATCCTGTTCAACTGTGCGCTCGTGACGTCAAGAATAAAAACATTAGTACGGTAATAATAATAAAAACGTCTTCATCCTTTAAAATAATAAAAACTCATCCTAATTTATTTCCTATCCTTAGTGAAAAAGGTATCCATACCCCAAACTAGATCACTGGTGTATGAAAAAGTTTCGGATCTATTATGATCTTGCAAAGGATGCTCTTGGTGGTAGCCACGTTTCATCAACTGCTCAGCGTATTGGCGGTCGCCGTTATCGCAGTTCTTTTCTGTGGCACAGTGGTATACCTCCGCCTGTTACGAAATTGCCAAGTATCGAATTTACATTAGGTGCAAACTATATGGAGATAGATGTGTATATGCAAAATTGTTAGGTTATATACTTTGAAATGTTTCCGTTGACCTACCGACTTAAACACGGAACAGTATATCTGTGACAACTTCAGTACAAGAAGACCCAGTAATTCACTATATGAGAATGAATGGATTTATTGAACGTGCGAAGGCGGAGCGTGCAAATACTAGCAAATGTTAGGAACGGATGCTTTTTTTCAATGAATGACGAAGTACGGAAACAAACTGATCATACCGAAATGACTGAAGGGTTCCCGCTGCCAGTGAAGAATACGGATGAACCTTCATCCGAGAACACGTGCTGTTCGTATCCCTCTACGTCAATTTTTAGTGCGAACACTGGTGTAATTTCCGTGTCTATGATATCGTCCAGTCTGAAGTACAAGTATTCGACAAAAGTTATGAATTGATTAACAACTATATTCATACACCGAAAATGATAGAAAACTCGCACGGCATATATAAACCCATAGACACCTGGACTACAACTCTGCGCTGGTGAAAATGATTTAAGAACATTTAAAATAAACTTTGTTACTCACACTGACCTGACAATCTCCATACTGCTGCGGATCGAGTATTGCTCGGGAGTTTTTAATCTCTGTTCCGCTAAGAAGGTCGTCAACGCCTCCTCAGAACAGACAGTATGGCCGTCGCCAAGGTTGTTGTCAGATGAAACTACATGGCAAGTTGCTGGTTCAGTACCTAAAACCAGATAATTTACAAGTTGGAGTGAGTCGAAAGTCTTTCCAACTTGTCAATGGAGATCGTCAAAGCACAGAGAATCTATGGAAATATTTTGAGTTGGATACTAGGTCATTATACAAGACATACCTAGACCGAATGGCATTATTGTTAGTTTTTCCTCAAATCCCGGATTCAGACAAGCGGTTAGTTGTAAAAGTTGTATATTGGAGGGTAGTGGTTCTACCGAGATAGTAGAGAAGCCAAGGCCTAGCGCCTGAGCAGTCCAATATCCAACATTCGCACCGATATCCAGAAAGTATCCTTTGGGACCTCCAGGATTGAGAGTGAATGTACGATCCCAAAACCTTTGTAGCAGGTATAGCTCCCACACACCCGTTTCTCGTAGTGTTTTACTAACTATATCATCACCCTTGTATATTGCCATTTTTATCGGCGGGTATTTATCTCCTCTTATTGATTGGACATCCACCACCTGCACGTTATCGTTTGCTGTAGAATTTAGAAATTGGATTATCAGCACAGTACAAAACTGCGTTGCTAAATATTAATGCAAAATACTGAAAACTTCGACTGGTGATGAAGCAACACTTTGTAACATATTGAATACTATATAATACCGAAATCACTGACACAGCTGACGGTGCATACCGTCTACATCTGACCTTCCTAGTCGGCGGTCAACTTGACTTAATATGCTCAGACCAATGAGACGAATATGCCATAATCCGATTCGAGCTCACTTGTCGATTCTTGACAGAATTCAACCAGATATTTGCAATACTACCTTGTGCACACTACTAAAAGTTATTGTAGCATATTATATGCACATATGTGCAATTATATTGCCTCGAACCCCCATAGAAGTACATACCCGTCACCCCGTGGATAGCAAGGCAATATGATTGCCTGGCACGCTCACTCATCTGCGGTAAAGGTGCTTTAAGGCCTTTGTGTCCGCTACAGTTTTGTTGATTTTTGCTCGGCGCCTGTATCTCGCTAACTTTTAGACTGCTATCGTGTCCCAATATCTGATATAATAAAATGAGTATGCTTATTGTAGCTGCAATATTTAACCACTGGCTCGGTGTGGGTAGCCTTCTAGGGCTGACTATTGATGAGAATCCCATGACAATGATCTACAAGTAATAAGTCCACTTGTGGCAGGTTAAGTTACGGGAAAATATAATATATCAGTCCTATATAAATAACCTGTATTTTTTTTAGATCTATAAAACCGCATAAAATTGAACACACTATTTTCTAATAAATATTTCGTCTTCACGACCTGTGGCACTTTTTTATACTTCTTCCATTCTAAAGCATCTATAGTGTCATCACTTTTACAACAAAAAAAATATAAGCAGGTTTTCGTTAGTCATATGATTCTTTCTCTAATAGAATCGCACAGAGATCGCTACGATAAACTTTATTCGAATTAACCGTTTCATGTAAAGCTTTATCCAATGAAAAAAAAATCTTATATAATATATATATATACCCGGCACCCGGCAAAGTATATAGTGTAAAAAAAAATACATGGACGTTCGAGGCTGCGAAGCACAGGTCACAGGGAATAGGCCATAGGGTATAGGCCATAGGCCATAGGGTGGCTATCAAGAAGGCTATGCATAGGGAATCTAAAAATTTACATGTGTAAAAATATGTGGTAAATGCCTGCTCTTAAAAAATAATGTCCTCACTGTTCACATTCATATCATTATGTAAGCGACCTGTAGGTGAAAAACCGACTAAATATGCAGATATTCTGTGGTATATTCGGTAGGTTATTTATCGACCGCAACGAAAGTACACGGTGGCTTATAGTATATGGCCTATGACATATGCTCGTCCATGTCGTCAGAAAAGGGAACTATCAAGCTCTAATTAATGAGAGAAATTATTGTTCAGAGTTTTCCCTCTATTTCAAGGTGTTTACAACCTTTTGTGCAATCGTGCGCCTGAAATTAGTATTATGACATGGAGTATTAAAATCGTCTTCGACTCTGTTCCATTTGTAGCGATTGTGGATTATCAACAATTGAGGAGCTGTAGAATGACGCATTATTCGTAGTCATGTGATACGGGCTATTTCAGCCATGGGAGCCATATGATATAGGACAACGGTCATAGCGAACGACAAACAACGGTAGTGATTAATAATTTCCAATTGCAAGTAGTAAATGTTTGTAATACGATACCTTCAATTTACTATAGGTGTTTCTATTCAAAAGTATGACGATCGTCTGGGGCACTTGTGCCAAACATTGCGTATTGCATACATTAACAAAGTAATACATACGCAGCAATACTGATGCTAGACAGCAATAGGTCACGATTTGAGTGACGTTTGAGCTTGCTTCAATTACGATTCCGGTGAAGAACCATATACACAATGAAGGTTGCCTTACTAAGGCCAGAATTTGTGCTTCACTTCGCATCTATCGTATCTGATTCAGGAAGGTTCCCGTATTGAACTGCGGAATCACGGTAGCTGTATTAGGCGAAAACGTATGAAGTGGCGGCAATGCGATTTGCTATATGCTAGTCTGTCTGAACTTGCAATGAGCATTGTAGCAGTGCGCAGGCTTTCTGCAGCTACTCGACGAACATGTAGCTCATGTTTACTGCATAAGTTGAGCGGGTTGGTGCAGATATTTTAGTTAATTAACTTAAACATGTAACCAAGTTCGGTATGCATCTCTGGAGAACATGAAATTTCCTTTTATTACAAAACAGTAAAAGAAATCATACTTCGAAACCGCCATTTTGTTTGCAAATAAATATATTCTGATTTAAAAATATATAACCCTAAATATTATTTCATAAGAATGGTGGCAGCAGCATCATGGCCTGTCAGTTTGTCGACTATTTGACCACTCGTGGGCAAGTTCAACCCAAAATAGACCGCAAATTCCAATGCCACGAAGCAGGACGAGACGAACATACATAAGGACAGCAGTGACCACGAGCCGAATGCTATGCTTGTGACTACGTACGTAATCCAGAGCTCTGTATATGACAAACAATATACAAAAATATATTAGCATATCTAGATATATTTATGTGTGAATAAACCATATTATATATATATATACAAATATACAAATATATATATATATATATATATCTATATAATATATATATATATATATATATATATGTGTGTGTGTGTGTGTGTGTAGTAATATATATATAATAGGTNTTATAATATANACCACAACAATATATAATAAATAAAAATAAAGGTATAATATATTNTATATATATATATATATATATANACCCATATATA